TTATTCTTACTGTTACTAGTTTTGATAGAGAGGTAATCAACGTTGTCCTTAATGTTACAAGGTTTGATAGAAAGGTAACCAACGTTATACTAAATGTTACTAGGTTTGCTAGAAAGGTAACTAACGTTATTCTTAATGTAACTAGGTTTGGTAGATATGTAACCAACGTTAACCTTACTGTTATTAGGTTTGGTAGAGATGTAACCAACGATATACTAAATGTTACTGGGTTTAGTAGAAAGGTAACCAACGTTGTCCTTAATGTAACTAGATTTGGTAGAGAGGTAACTAATGTAATCCTTACTGTTACTAGTTTTGGTAGATATGTAACTTACATTATCCTTACTGTTACCAGGTTTGTTAAATATAGAAGCAACCTTATACTTAATGTTACTAAGTTTGATAGAGATGTAACCAACGTTATACTTAATTTTACTTGGTTTGATAGAGAGGCAACCAACGTTTTCCTGACAGTTACAAGGTTTGGTAAAGAGGAGAGGTAACCAACGTTATCCTTACTGTTACTAGTTTTGGTAGATATGTAACTTACATTATCCTTACTGTTACCAGGTTTGTTAAATATAGAAGCAACCTTATACTTAATGTTACTAAGTTTGATAGAGAGGCAACCAAAGTTATCCTTACTTTTACTAGGTTTTGTAAATATGTAACCAACGTTATCCTTATTGTTACTAGGTAGAGTAGAGAGGTAACGAACGTTCTACTTAATGTTACTAGGTTTGGTAGATTTGTAACCAACGTTATCCTTACTGTTACTAGTTTTGGTAGATATGTAACTTACATTATCCTTACTGTTACCGGGTTTGTTAAATTCAAAATAAGTTTAGACAAACTTACCTATGCCGAACCCCACATAACTTCAACTATAGTATATCAATCCACTGAAAAGTACAGTTAAGGTGATACTACCCGAATATTGCCTCGTTCTATAAAGATAACAAATTGATATCCACGCACTTTAAAATATAACAAAAATGAAATCTTAACCAACATTATCATTAATGTTACTAGGTTTGATAGAGAGGTAAGCAACGTTATCCTTACTGTTGCTAGGTTTGGTAGAGAGGTAACCAACGTTGTCCTTAATGTAACTAGGTTTGATAGAAAGGTAACTAACGTTATTCTTAACGTAACTAGGTTTGGTAGATATGTAACCAACGTTATCCTTAATATAACTAGATTTGGTAGATATGTAACCAACGTTATCCTTACTGTTATTAGGTTTGGTAGAGATGTAACCAACGATATACTAAATGTTACTGGGTTTTGTAGAAAGGTTATTAATGTAACTAGGTTTGGTAGAGATGTAACCAACGATATACTAAATGTTACTGGGTTTTGTAGAAAGGTAACCAACGTTGTCCTTAATGTAACTAGGTTTGGTAGAGATGTAACCAACGATATACTAAATGTTACTGGGTTTTGTAGAAAGGTAACCAACGTTGTCCTTAATGTAACTAGGTTTGGTAAAGAGGTAACCAACGTTATTCATAATGTTACTAGGTTTGGTTGATATGTAGCCAACATTACCCTTAATGTTACTAGGTTTGGTAGAGAAGTAACCAACTTTAAAATTACTGTTACTAGGTTTGGTAGAGAAGTAACCAACGTTAAATTTACTGTTACTAGGTTTGGTAGAGAGGTAACAAAAGTTAAAATTACTGTTACTAGGTTTGATAGAGAGGTAACCAACGTTTTACTTAATGTCACTAGGTTTTGATAGAGAGGTAACCAACGTTGTCCTTAATGTTACTAGGTTTGGTTGATATGTAACCAACGTTATACTAGATGTTACTAGGTTTGAAAGAGAGGTAACCAACGTTATCATTAATGTTACTAGGTTTGGACGATAGGTAACTAACGTTATCCTCCATGTTACCTGGTTTGGTAAAGGGGAGAGTTAACCAACGTTGTTCTTACTGTAACTAAGATATGTAACCAACGTTATACTTACGGTTACTAGGTTTGATAGAGAGGTAACCAACGTTATACTTAATGTCATTAGGTTTGATAGACAGGTAACCAACGTTATCCTTACTGTTACTAGTTTTGATAGAGAGGTAACCAATGTTATCCTTACTGTTACTAGTTTTGATAGAGAGGTAACCAATGTTATCCTTACTGTTACTAGTTTTGATAGAGAGGTAACCAATGTTATCCTTACTGTTTATAGAGTTGATTCACAATAAGTTTAGACATGTTAACTATGCCGAACCCCTAGCAGTTTATCAATCCATTGAAAAGTACAGTTAAAGTGACAATACCTAAATATTGCCTAGTTCTATGAGGTTTACAAATTGATATCCACGCAATTTAAAATATATCAAAATAAGATTAAACGTTGGTTACATATCTACCAAACCTAGTAACATTAAGGATAACGTTGGTTACCTTAATATTACGTGGTTTGGTACAGAGGTAACCAACGTTGTCCTTAATGTTACTAGGTTTGGTAGATATGTAACCAACGTTATCCTTAATGTTACTAGGTTTGATAGATATGTAACCAGTGAGGATTACAACGGAGAAACTTGCACTACACAATAGCATAATCAATCCGTAGAATACTGGGAAATAGAGTTGAGTGAGCACTTGAGAATTTGCGGGAAGAAGACATTTAAAATCTCGTTATACAAGCTCTATTCAGAGAATCAAATTGAGACAAGAGAAACTAAAGAGTATTTAGTAATTGTATAGACTATATGATGGTCTCCCGATTATGACGTCACATATCGCTCTCGTTATGACGTCATAGATGATGTATCTAGACAATTTATTAGGTATCATGAAGATTCAGAAATGAAAGCGCCACTGCTTCATAAGACGTGCTGTTTGAAGTTATTTTGATATATTTCACCGGATAATGTTCGGTTATGATTTTTGTTTTCTAGGCATCTTTAAAATGAACTGATTCTTATTGCGGATATTGTTCAATTCGATTATACATACCAATATGCACTGCGACAATTACTGGCCAAAAGCTGAACTATTATCTCCGCAAAAAAACTACCTTTTATCACAGCCAAAACCCTATCTATAATCTTTAGTGATAATGAAGGCAGTCGATTGGTTGTATTACAGTGCTAGTCACATACAATCCTACTTGATAGTGTTAGAGGCATAGTACAATGTCATCTCAATGTTCATTTTATCTTCTGGATTATAAACGGTCACAAATCAAGAGGTATTTTTGCTATTTGATTATATGTCGTTTTGTCTTTTCGTGTACGTTTCCCAGCTTTAATCATAATACACTCCTGTCATGTCATGCTCTTCTATATTTAGACATGATGACTCCGAATGCACGTTTTTAGAATGACGGAGGCAGGCAGTGAACTGAAACAGTTGCACTATCAAGGTAAACGCACCATACCACTTTATTGATTGCGACTTTCAAAGCTGATTGAGTGTTGATACTGAAAATGATTGGTAAGTGAACTATGGACTTCATAGGAAGTGTGTCGTCTACAAGCATGTTAAAAGGCCAACTATTTCCGCCATGCAACATATTTAGTTGTAAGGAAATCCACTTGTTGATAGTCATTTGATACACTCACCCCTCAAAAGAGGGGATTTCTAAATTGCAAAAAATACAAATGCGATAGATTTTCAATGGTTGTGCTAGCCGTTGGATTCTTGATTAAAATATGCATTGAAATCCAGCCATGTAGGTAAGCAGAAATGTAGTGCCTTGTGTGTGTTCGTGTTTGTGGTTGTGCGTGTTTGTGAGGGTGTATGAGGATGGGTGGGTGTGAGTGTGGTTTTGTGTGTGTGAGTGTGGTGGTGATGATGTGTGTGTGTGTTTTTCAAGAAAAATGTCAAAGTATTAACATCGTAAAACAGCTATACAATGAAAGGTAAGCTAATAAAATCCTTTCACAGTTAACTTGTAGACAAGTACAACCATGTGCGCATACAAGAATGTAGCGCCATTTTTGTAGGGGTGTGGAGAATGAAAAATAAGGTTTAAGGGAAAATACCCTAATTTTATTCCTTCAAGTTCACGCGTTGATTGCAACATGTTGATGTTGTATATGCTGGACTAGATGATTTAGTTACAGGTGCCTTTTGCTAGTCTAACAAGAAGTAAATCCATGGTCACATTAGGTACAAAACAAGAGCCTCGTGTGATCAAACTTACTTTCACTTATTGGTTGTCATGTATAGTATCTACTGTTCAAATCTCTATCCATGGATTTTAAATACGGCTTCATTGGCATATGGCACCCGCAATTACTTTATATCTCAAGTATTTATGAACTGAATGTGCTATTTTTGTGTCTTTAGTACAATCTTTATGGTTATCCAGATAGAATGTTGCACAGGTTTTCTATTTGACCTTGTATGTTAAACTGCCATTTCATTTAAACCTTAAACCATCTGAGTCCAGTAGTTGGTTGTTGTCTCGTTGTACGCGGTATCCTAGTAAATATAGGATGTGTCATTTTTTAAGTCTTTATACGAAGACATTTACGTGTGTTCTCAAAGAGGACGTCAGATGATGGTATTTATTCTTTATTCAATAGCTATATTGACAGGAGTGGTATAGGCACCGTTGATTTCATTTAATCTATTCAATTTCTTTGTTACACAACTACTGTTTGGCAAGTGGACCTGTATCACTTTTCCTCCACACATACGCCTACAATGAAATATTGCTATATAATCGTGACCTCGTGGTTGTCCATTATATTGTAGCAATGGAGCATGTTGGGACCAAGAGGTGAAAAACACTGCATGAATAAGATATAACCCCGCCATGACCGGAAGGTACTGTAGCAGCGACTACACAATAGCAGGGAACATATGTATTGATCTGCTATGACTGGGTGTTATAGATACACATGTGCACGTTTTATCCAACCAGTCCACAACCTCAGTAGAAGAGAAAGTGATGGGTCTGTACGAGATGTCTATACATGTGTATGTGTTTTACTGCGAAGTTCCACATTCTTGGACAAAAAAGGATAATTTATAATTGAAACAGGAAGAAATTAGACTGTATGATGAATATGTAATTTGTTGTAAGGAGCATTTACTGTACAAATCCCGATCCGGATGGATACCTAAGGCTATTGGCATCTGTTCATATACATGTGTTTCATTCCTAAGGCAAAACTATGTCGGAACACAAGGAAGGCATTCAAAGGCCATACGAGATCCACAGGTAAACCACACATCTCTTTAATCCATAATCCCTATATTTGATATCACTGATTTCCGATTGTGAAAAAAGTATATCTAAAGCAAATTGCAACCTTTTGTTGTAATGAGATATGGTATTTGAGTTATATCAACTTACGTATTTGAAAATTCAAATAGGGAGTTAAGGTGTTTTATCTAATCTGCACCGTTTAGAATTATGCATATGTGTAACCCTCTCGAACCGTTCGAGAGACACAATTGACGGACTACCGAAGGTGAAGAAAAGCGCCTTTTATTTCCGGTAAGCTTACAAAACTCTCTCGCTCCCGTACCTGCCCTGGTCCCAGGCCTCGTGACACCAGTCCGTCCAATACGCTGTCTAGTGACCGGAGTGAGGGACGATCTTGTCCCCTCCTATTTATGTCTAATGCATACGTGACTGTCAAATTTGATGGGTGACCCCGGTTGACCTTAATATATGTCCCCCACAGAACAATGACTGTGTGTCAGAACATATAACTAAAACAGATAATTCTGCTTAATAATTAAATATTATAAACATCAACTCAGTAATAGAACCAAAACAGATAATACTGCCTAATATCTAAAGCAAGGGTTACATATGTAATCAATTGTTTAAACTTCCTTTGACGCAATGAAGCTTTTAGGAGGACAACATGGAAATTATAACCAACTGTAACTTTTCAAATATTTTTTTGAATTATTATTTTTTAAAGCCAAGTATGATTTTTTTTGTAAAATCCACATGAACAGAACAAGACTGTCCATAGGGCCTGTAATGCTTACCCGGATCGTAATGATCAACAGTGGGATATAGGACTATAGGATATTTTTTCTCATATTTCCAAATTACAGCTAGGTCGTATAGGGCAAGTTCTAATATCATCACTTTCTTTCTCGTTTGCTGCTCATTGAGAGTTTATAGGATAATCGGGAAGGAATCTCAACTGATTCGAAAATATGACACAGAAATTCAGTTCATACCCCGGGGCCGATTCTTACATAATGATTGTGTTTATAGCTTGATGCCCAGGGATGCTATATGGTTACCGGGTGGAGATCATAACTGTTTCAAAAATATACCACCGAGTCTCTAGACCCTATGGCCAAACCAACCGCTTATATGAAATTGATGCTTCAGAACAAATTTGGACAAAATTATACAGCAGGAGTTGAATTTTTACGCCTATCCAGCTCATCCCACAGGTGCTTAATATTTTGTCGAGTGTTTAAAATGCGTCCTAGGCCTGGGTCCTTAATTTCTCTATAATGAATGCTTCTGACGTTACGGTCTGTTACCTGTTCTCCTACCTTCGTGTACCACCTGTCCCGCAACTCCGAAATGACTTTGAAAGACCTCTAAACTGGTTTAAAAAACCTATAAAACTAAATAACAAACATACATTTAAATGAATGAATAAAATATTCATATTTAAACACTGGATTTAGGCTTCTAACATTTTACATTTACATAATGGCAAGACTTCGCTAATGTAACCCTAAGTGTGACATTGCAAGAAAAAAAATAAAAATATACACAAGCCTACAAATTTTGTTTGAATTATAACTGTAAATAGTGTCCTTCTATGTGTAACAAAAAAATGATTTTGAAATTCACTTCAGTTAGGAACAAAGAGAATTAATGAATTTAGAGCATGTAACATAGACACTATTCCCAAACTGAGATTGATGGTTCTTTGACCTGTTTAAAGTTGTCCATCATTTCGACTTAGAAAATTGCATTTTTCAAATTCATCATATATTTCAAATTCTATGAAAACAAGTTTCATCTTATTGTTCTGTCAATGTTACATGCAATTATTAAGAGATAAATATTATCAGAATTATGTTCTTGGTAAACAAGAAAAGTCATTTTTTTTCATTGTGTTACTGTCGTATAAAGAAAATTCTATCAATATTTTTGCAACCTTCTCATTTCAGTAATAAAGTAGTTACATATATGCTGTATGTAACATGGACTCAAAAAATATGAATAATAAAGCATGCCAGAAATGCTATTAAAACATAAAAAGCCCCCCAATACACTATCTGTATGTAAATTATAATTATACTTCCACATATCTCAAATATAATATCGTTTAAGTAGTCGCATGTAACATTGACACCAAAAACGTGCAATTATTTGTTTTCGGGTCAAGGATAATACGGAAATCGTTCCCACCAAAAAATGCTATCGTGATGTCAAACCTGTTTTAAATACCAAATCTACTGATTTTTGTTGAAAAATACAAAGAAAAAATCACACAACATTATTAAAGATCATATTTTACTCCGAATGTGTGCGTAACACTTCGTTACGTAATCAAAATTACCAGATTCCGTGGTTTCCTCGAGTTCCTCTACACCGATAGACGCCTTTTTGGAAAACTGCATAGTCACGTGTTAACGTTACTGGGAGCGGGTCGAAATATCGCAAAAAAACATTATCGTTACGCGATCTGTTACAGAAATACAACTGTTCCAAGGAATAGTTTGGACACGAAAATTAATAATATTTTATTACCTAATATATTTTCCGAACTCCAGTTGATTGATGGAAATTACGACAATCATATCGTACCTTGTGTTGACACTTTGTAAATTTGCAAATGCCGTGTCGATGATGCGTTTCCAAACAAATTTACTGAGGGAAACGTGCACGTAACGTTTGTTGACCCGAAAAGTTACGTACATTGGTTTATTTTCAATTCTATTTTTTTGCAACATTTGCTTCCTTGTTATTTAATAAATTAGATCAATTTGTTTTTTCATATGACGATAAAAATAAACCAATTCTAATATTTAAACAATGTTTATTCTCCATAATTGCATGGTTTTGTTTGTTTTTATTGGATAAACTACTTTGACACTAAAATTTCATTAGCGAATTCTTGTCCATATGCCAAATACACGTTTAATAAGCTGACTGTAGCCTAGCTCATGAACTAGGTCTAAAAACATAACGCATAATTCCAGCTCAAAACTATCATCCTATGGGGAGCCCTGTAGGTCAGACCTTGCACTCATTTTTAATCTGCGTTAATCTGTGTTAAAATAATATATTTCAATAGGAGAAATTATCGAAATATGTTATCAATATTCACTTGTTTTATTCAGTAATGTATAAGTAACGTTGATATCGTTATTTCTATCTGTATTCCCCGGCCCTCTACGAGCCAAAGGCCCAAGTGGCTGCTAATTTACAAATCCAACCTTAACATATAACACATTTCAGAACCATAATTACGTTTCTCCGTATATCAAATTTTAGTCAGTATAATTTGAAGAATCCGGAAAATTTCTCGTTTTCCTTTCTACTTTTCTTGATTATGAATCAGCGAAATATCTGAAGCAGATGTACAGCAAAAAATGCGAAATCATTAATGTGTTCGTTCAGGATCTATTTCGAATATTATGTCTCTCATAAAACAACAATTTTACAATTGTCTCCTTCTTGGCGATAACATAAACCAAGAAAAATGTCCCGAAGACACTCACTGCAATAGCACATTCAAGTATTTTTATCATACAGTAAAGTTTAATGAGATATCACTCCATCATACACGTGATCCGTTCTCATCGCACTTTTCAGTGATGTTAGTTGCCTAGAGTATTAGAAGGCAACCTGAGAAATGATATCAAAACTTTAACGAAGGATGTTCACCAGTCCACAATTGAATAAATTCAATATATTTGTATATTTAAGACTTCCTTTAAACTACATCATCTTAGTCGTCAAAAACAACATGAAATACCAACACGTCTACATGAATAAAATCAAACTCAAATGCTATAAAAGTAGACATGAATGGAAGAAAGATTTACACTGAAACTCTGGAAAAAGTAAAGAAGAATAAGACCATGTGCTCAGGAAGAGAAGCACCTCCTGCTTCATCGACGACACCCTAAACTTAAACCTTTGTCAATGAAATGTAGTAATGAGTAAAGTCATACAACAACGGATCCAGTAGGCAAACTAACGAGCATCAAACACGTCCTGCTTTATATCACACAGAAGAATAGAATATTTCTTCAATGAGATCATTATGACAACCGTACCACTTCTTCATAATAAAAATAAATGTTTGTTAATCTTATCAATAATAACATGTTTACCTTTTGTTTTTTAGTCGTGGAGTGGTGAATTTTTTCCTTGTGACAATATTTGGGATGATGTTAATGGTTGGACTGTTCTACATCTCCCCATACCTTGGTCCAGATGTCCAGATGAAACACATGTACCATTATAGATATGGAAACAGTAGTGAAGTACCAATACGTGTGCACTATTATAATCGTCCGCCATGGATTCCCATCGATGTATTTTCCTCTTGTGATGACAATTGTTTTTTGACTGCTGGCGAAGGCAATTCGTATGCAAGCAGTGGGGTTGTGATATTCCATACACCTTATGTCAAGGAAAGACATCCCCCGAAGAAAATGGGACAAATATGGATATTTCACTCTATGGAGCCGCCGTGGTTACACTGGTGCAAATTTAATAATTGGAAAGGTGTATTTAACTGGACTATAAGCTACAGGAGAGATTCAGATATTATGTGTACCTATGGAAATTTCGGCACTAGTGTCTTTAATCAAAGTACTTGGGATATAGAAAGAAGTAATTTTCTTAAAAAGTGGCAGAAAAAAAACAAAGATATTGCATGGATGGTTTCTCATTGTAGAACGGTTGGGAAGCGAGATGATTATGTGAATATTCTTAAAAAAATGACACCAGTGGATATTTATGGAAAATGTGGCGACAATAAATGTGATCGTTCTAAAACTGACGAATGTTTAATCCCGTATAAATTTTATTTGTCTTTTGAAAATCAATTATGTGATGATTATATAACGGAAAAGAGTTTCAATCTTTACCAAACTTGGTCGACCTCTATACCTGTTACACGTGGAGGTTCTAACTATTCCATGTTCCTACCTCCTGGATCATACATAGACGCGTCCAAGTTTACACGCATTTCTGATCTTAGAGACTACGTTAACTCAGTATCGAAGAACATTACAAAAATTATGGAATATCAGGAATGGAGAAAGAGGTATCGGCTTACCAGTGCACACCCCGGCGCATTCTGTGAACTTTGTCGTCGACTTCATCTAAAGGATAAAGACAAGTATAGACGATTATATGATGACATAGGAGAGTGGCATAGGAGAGACAAATCACAGAAATGCTGTCGAGACCCGAAAGACCTAGCATAAATCATTCCCGTGTTATTGTTCAAAGATGTTATGGCAGTAGGTAGTGTAATTAATAACTTCCAATAAAAATACCGATGTTGTCAACTGGACTTACAAATGCATGGTCGCTTTGCATCGAACACTGTCACTAGCGATTCAATACAGAAAAAAAATGCCCGATTACCTCGACATAGAAATAAGTAGACATCAGTTAAAAATAGTGAAGTATGTGTTGATGACTACTTTCGAGAAAGAAAAAAACGTTGATAATGACGGATAGAAATGGGCGACTGATAAACAATTTTAATTGTCTTCTACAGGCACTGAAGAACTGAAAAAAGTGATTTGGGATCAGCACTACTTACAATATCGACGTTGTTGGGAAATCGAGAAAGGATATGCACAGTATAAAAATATGCAATATACGAAATCTAGAATTTCAAGACGCATACTACAGGTTAACTGGTAACGTACTCCTATACACATAGGTAATGTGATCCTCACAAGCATTAGATAGAAATGAAGAAAGAAGAATTGGCAGTCATGATTTTTTTTCCATTTCAGATATCGATCTGAATGCTACTGTTTATAGCTGAAAGAACATGTTTTTGTATTCCTTTTACATATAAAATGAAAACATTGTCTTTGATTATGCAAAATGAGACTTGATTAAGGAATGTATATGTTACGTGTAATTTCGTCGTATTTACAGTCAATATTTTCTTGGCAATGACTAAAAGACAAATATTTTAATGTTGATTGAGTGTGTGAATTGGTAAATGATTCATTTAACTCAAATACTTCAGTGTTTCTATATAGGTTTGATAGTTAAACGAACACGTCAACTTTCCGGAATAGTTCCCGTGTCTCAAATTATAGTAAACAGTTTACAATAGACGGTAACCATTTGCAGTGGAGAGTTGTCCAAATATGCATTCAAAATTGTACTTGTACTTGTTTTAGTGTTTGTCGGAAGACCATACACCTGGTCATAAGTGATGTGGTCACAAAGTAAAACATTAAATGAATTAAAATTAATACTGTTCAAGTTGTTTTTCAAATCTTGCGTTAAGTCATTCGCTTTCATATGATCCTATCTGACATTCCATTAGTAAAACTTTGCTTTCCGCAGATTAGTTTTTTCCCGAATCGTAAATGAGCAATCCATTAGATTATGCTCATCAGAAAACGTTGGAATAATGTAAGAAATTTCACAATATTATAGTAATAGAAATAGATCTACTGTAAATAACCGGTGATTGACCACTCTCGAGTCTTTGAATGAAGTTTCCCCCCAGATACATTTATCGTAAGAGACCTGATTATTTGCTAAAAAATGGAGAGCATTGTTTACACATTTCGATCTCCTTTGGTCCGTAGTTGTGTGAATTACTTTTATTTTCAGAAAATCAGATCACATCTAGTCCTCACCCAACGTTCAAGGTTCTGTTTATTACGTAATATATTTCGATTCAATATTGATTTGTAGCCTGAATGTGCCACAGGTAGTCACACTAGCACACCTGAATGTGCCACACGTAGTCACACTAGCACACCTAAATGTGCCACAGGTAGTCACACTAGCACACCTGAATGTGCCACAGGTAGTCACACTAGCACACCTGAATGTGCCACAGGTAGTCACACTAGCACACCTGAATGTGCCACAGGTAGTCACACTAGCACACCTAAATGTGCCACAGGTAGTCACACTAGCACACCTGAATGTGCCACAGGTAGTCACACTAGCACACCTGAATGTGCCACAGGTAGTCACACTAGCACACCTGAATGTGCCACAGGTAGTCACACTAGCACACCTGAATGTGCCACAGGTAGTCACACTAGCACACCTGAATGTGCCACAGGTAGTCACACTTGCACACCTGAATGTGCCACAGGTAGTCACACTAGCACACCTGAATGTGCCACAGGTAGTCACACTAGCACACCTGAATGTGCCACAGGTAGTCACACTAGCACACCTGAATGTGCCACAGGTAGTCACACTAGCACACCTATATAGAATCACTGGATGTCTGCTCGATTTTTTGTAAACTGTAATTTAATCAATGCCTTCTGAATGCGTCAAGCTAGTACTCTCGCTTAATATGGTACTATGTATATTGTACAGGTATGCTAGCCCTCCTGTGATTTCCAGATAAATGACATTCCATTATAATAACCTCCGCCTCAGGTGTCACCCAAATCAATCATTTTCAGATGTTTTCAACACCTGGTTAGTCTCCAATAATCATTGAATGATGTTATACTGAATACAGGCTACCTCATGTATTTTAGATACATTGTACATGAGCTTAATTCTGGATGTCATCCATGCACCATTTAATCTATTGAGATGCACAAGTTCAAAATTGTTTACCAACAATTACCAGGAACATACATGGGAAGTATCTATTTAACAAATCTGCTGTTTTTTTCATCCGAATAAATCGGCTGAACTAGATATATATTTTTAAATATAATGATAGCATATACCCAAACGACAGTTATTTCTGACGGTAGTAAGTGTGCGTCAATATTTTAGTATATACCCAAACGACAGTTATTTCTGGCGGTAGTAAGTGTGCGTCGACATCTTAGTATATACCTAAACGACAGTTATTTCTGCCGGTAGTAAGTGTGCGTCAATATCTTAGTATATACCCAAACGACAGTTATTTCTGACGGTAATACGTGTGCGTCAATATCTTAGTATATACCCAAACGACAGTTATTTCTGACAGTAGTAAGTGTGCGTCAATATTTTAGTATATACCCAAACGACAGTTATTTCTGACGTAGTAAGTGTGCGTCAATATCTTAGTATATACCCAAACAACAGTTATTTCTGACGGTAGTAAGTGTGCGTCAATATCTTAGTATATACCCAAACGACAGCTATTTCTGCCGGTAGTAAGTGTGCGTTAATATCTTAGTATATACCCAAACGACAGTTATTTCTGCCGGTAGTAAGTGTGCGTCAAGATCTTAGTAACTTATGTTAGTAACTTGAAAAACCTATATACCTGTAGATTTTAAGAGAAGTGCTTTATGTATAATGTTACAGGTCTGCCTCCATGGCTGTAACACTATACATGAATTATATTTCTAATTTATTGAAATAAAGCACTTCTATCTAAATTCAGTTTTATCAAATGATGGAAACAAAAACAAGTCGACCAACAGAGGGGCGCTGTGTGTTCCCGTACTTATGACAATTGGCTGTTGGAAACCAAACCAAACTCGACTAAGACGTTGTCGAACAATTCAAAAACCTGCTCATTGTTAGGATTTCGTCCTCCGTATACTTCTTGTTTAGACGCATTTTTTTTTTTACAAGATACGCTTTAATATAGTTTACAACCATATATTTATACCGCCGTTCTCCTTTCTTGGAGATGAAAGGTCTTATAACAAGAGAATGAAAGCATTTGTTCAGTTCAGAATGGGGTATATTGGTGTACTGCGTGGAAAACTAAAACTATTCTTTATTAAGATTTTTTTACAAGAAGTAGTTAGAGATTGTTCAAAAGCACTTTGTGATTCTTTCAAAGCATCATACTATTAAAGGTGAATAGAACCATTAATTATCTGCTCGATCTTTACTTAAAGCTGCAATCCGCGTTGAATCAGACGATTGCTTGCTTGGGACGTATGATACACCTTTGTCTGACCCCTATTCTATTTTAAGGATGACTTAGCTCAGTTAAGTTAATTTGATAGCAATGAAATACTTTGGGGATATTATCAATACTATGATAATTTGTGTTGGAGATCACTATCAGGACAGTCTCGAATGCAGTTTACTAGCCAAATCGCTCAGAGGCATCAATAATTTTTTCAACAGCTCTAGCTAAAAGCGAGTTTTCAGCTGAACTTAGCTTTACGTCTCCATTTAAAAGAACGTTTATCGAAATATCACCCGGATACCACGACAGTTCGGTAAATAGAGTGTTACGAATTTGTATATAGTTGGTACAGTGAAGTAAGTAATGAAAGGAGTCTTCAGAGGGGTGTCCGCTGGAGCAAGATGTAGAGTTCGTGAGATTGGCTCTGAATAGGTCATAATTGAGCGAGCTTGCTCTATTTCTCAAACGACAATGAAGACGAGGGCCATATGATAAAAAGCACGATTTAAGCTCGTTTGTGCTTCTTGAACATAGTTTGGTTTTAAACAAATTCAGTGAATCAACAGTTTTTAAAGTCTCATCTAATCCATTCCAGAGTTCAGCTGTAGTAGGGAAAAATGATTTACATATAGATTTAAGACGGTAAGGTGACTTTCGTAACTGATCTGCGTTTCTTAAGTTATACCTAGTGAGATTGCAAATATGTTTAGGAAGAAAATCTTAATAGTGAATCAGATCTAGTATATATAGATAAACCAGTCACATTTCGGGCTGCCTGTAGTTGGATTTTTTTTTCTATTTTTGATGACATAATAACACCATTTTTTCTAATGTGTGTCTGTTAAGAATTTCTTTTAACCTACGTAAAAAGTTGCCATATATTTAGATACCCTTCTAATAACTTCTTCTGCATGTTTATTCCATGTTCCGTCACTACTCGGTACGACTCCTAGATGTTTGTGTTGATCTGTAAGTTCAATATACGTATTGTTAAAAATAAAGTGGGGTTGGTGTTCAAGTTGTGTATTTTTTATTATCATAATTTCTGTTTTTTGTGGATTAAAAGACATCAGCCAATCTTTTGACCTTTGTTCTAATTTTCGTATACCACTATTAACTGCTAATTCTATGTCAGCTATATTTCGAGAAGAGCATTTTTGTACAACTATTTTTGTCTTTTAGCAGTGTGGGGTTAATATTAATGGTATTAATTTGAAACTTGTATGGCAAATAGACAATATCATGAAGTAAATAGACAATATCATGAGTGAGAAGCTTGGCTGAATTATGATGTATGGTGTTCAAGATATTAAAGTTTCAAGTTCAGGACGCCATCCACCATCCATCCTCTATATTATAAGCCACCAAAGTACCTGTTCAACTGGTGTT